TTAGTTAGTCGAACTAAAAGTCCAATTCTATTTATCATAAAAATTATAATCACTTTCAAACTCTAATACCGAGAAATTCATAGAGGTAGTGACCCAAAGATGTCATTGCCTGCAGTCGTAGATCGAGGGAAGACTCTCTATTGAAAACTATCAAGATATCAAAAAATGCTTACTTACCTTCATGATAATGATGCCTGCCATCAATCGCGGGAACAACAAGAAATGCAACGGCAGATAAAAATCCCAAAACGAGCATTTCTCTTGATATATACTGCTCGACTTAACTTACATATATCATGACATCGATATCATACAAAGATGGTCTTTTGGCTGTGTTGGATACAGCGCGTAAAGGATCCTGGGTTTTAATCATGTTGGTCCATTTCGATTTCGCGGGAATCTCAAAGGCGGAGAGGCCGCCGGACCAGGACTCGATATGTGTGYACAAAAGTGCGTTTTTAGATGAATTTTGAAGCGCTGTTTGACAAAGAACAAAAGAAATAGTATATTTTATACTTTTGTGGATGTTGTAATATTTTCCGCATATATTTTTKCTTCATAGCGAAACAATAGCTTTAAAAATTTGGTTGTCTTTTTTACCAACGTAAAACATTGCCAGACGTTCTTCATAGTTGTGATCGAAATATTTAATCAATTGTCTTTATAACAATTTAAAACGAGAAATAAATTCCTAATGTCCTCTGGTTGCATGGCGCACGATGGCGCAGCAGTCCGAGCAGTATTTTATTCACTTTTGAAGCAGCTAAAGTGAGAGAATTTTGAAGTCTTCGTACAAATCATGCTCTCATTTTTACTCATTTTTTTCGATATTTATCATCGGTTGTATTTCAATTTATGTTTGTACCATGTTTGTGGTATGTTAAAAGAATTTACAAGTTTCTGTAAAAGGCATAATAATAAAGAATTTGAACAAAAAACACAGTCAAATTACATTTCTTGCGGTCGAGGTTTCCCGCCAAARTTTTGACCTTGAACAACTTTTGACGCGCGCGTCACCTCTCTCATAGTCAAGGTGAACTTCACTTTTGAAATATATTGACAGTTTTGAGATTGAAAAGTCAATTCCTTTTGCATTTTTGCAACATTTTATGATGTCAAACAAAGGATTGTTCCTTGAATTGAAAAGCATGAGTGTCATTCATATTGCTGATGTGATAACATGTCTTTTTCAAGACTGTCGTAAGGTAGGTATGTGCTTTCTCGTAAAAATTAACACACAATTGCTCGAAAAATCCGATCTTTTCATGAGTTTTCAGCATTCTAGCTTACTTTTTTCGCAATACTACTGAACTCTATTATGTATCTTTACTTATTTTCAGATACTTTTCAAGTTTTTCTCAGATTATGCCTTTATTTTGCC